CGCGAAAAAGTGTATTGCTTATGAAAATTCTATTATTAAAATGATAATGACAATGACATACTCTTTTTTTAATATAGAAACATAATGTCACACAAATGCATTAGTTATACTAAATTGTGTTATATATTTTCAGGTGGATTCAGACACCAATTGATTCAAAATTTACACTCGAACCCGCCCATGTTACACTAGTCTAAATTGCAAAAGTAAAAATTTGAACACGTGGCTTAATTAAAACCGTTTATTCTACCTTTTTATAATTTAGTTTGATCGGGTTTTTTCAAATTGCGGGTTTCTGTTCACCTCTGTGTGTGTGCGTGTGTCTGTGTGTGTCTATATATATATATATATATATATATATATATATATATATATATATATATATATATATATATATATATATATATATATATATATATATATATATATATATATATATATATATATATATATATATATATATATATATATATATATATATATATATATATATATATATATATATATATATTCAAAGCTTTTTGCACCTTCCTTGTCGAATATAGCACCGTGCCTAGAGAAAAGCATCACTTTAGACACTTTTACTTTGCAACGGTTCAAGAAATCCACTAGCTCTTCCTCTACATTTGGGTACATCATGTTAACTTTTTCCGCACAGTCTAATGTGTTGACACTTTCGACCTTAGAGCCAGGGTTTTCATTGATTTCAATCATCATGACGTTGGCAGGTTTGATGAAACTTGCTTCTTTGACTTGTGGAGGGTCAAAATCAACCTTCATAGGTGGTTTGGTTTTGTCTTTAACTTTCAATCTCCCGTCCTTTAGAGTGTCCTGCACCAGATCTCTAAAAAGAACACATTAAGAGGTTTTATGACCAATATAGATATGGTATTTTCAAAAACTTTTTTTCTTTCTTTGTTCTAATGATGACATCTTTAGCCCATTTGGCACTATGATTTGACCGTCATAAACTAACAGATCAAAAATATCATCACGTTTGGTTGCATCAAATGTGTACGCCTTTGTGACAAACTTCTCATTCCTACTAGGTTCAGCAAGATTTTTTCCGTTTGAAGGTCTTAAAACCTTACAAACATGTCGAGACCTTAGCTTTAGTTATGTCAAATTAACCTCATTTTCTTCTACACATGCAAAAACTATGTCGATTTCTTAATCATTTTCATATGCTTCTACATACGCAACTTTCATTTTTTATTGTATTTATTCGACCTAGCCTTTTCAGCTTTCAATCGTTTAATTTTTCTAACTCTATCTCTTAATTGGGTCATATCTCTCAGATATTGGATATCTAACTTTTTCCTAATGGAATATTCTATACCATCTGCGACAGTTTCGACTAACACATGTTCAGGTACCTGAGTAAAACATCTTGACTTCATTAGCCTAAACCTATTCAGATAGTTATTTATGGACTCAGAGAATTTTCTCTTCACGCTGGCTAACTCTTTCAAGCTAATTTTCGACTAACCAATATAGAATCATGCATGTAAAACACTTTCTAGGTAATTCCAATTGCATATAGAGTTTGGAAGGAAAGTCGTGAACCATGTGAAAGCATTTTTGGTCAAATAATTAAGGAAATAATTCATTTTTAAAATCTCATTATTGGCCAAATCACCAACCTCAGTTTGGTATCGATTAATGTGTATGATAGTAAACTCACTAGTATCACCTACAAACTTAGTAGGTTTGGGGATCTTCCAACCCCTAGGGAGTTCGGTTTGCAATACATACTCAAATAATGCAAAGATGAATTTTGGCCTATGAAGGCCCACATTAAGACTATTTTGGACTAAGATTTGCTCGACCATATTGGGTAATTTTTTCGCCCCCCAAAATTACTTTGTTGGACATTTCTAACTACTTGATCTGCATCTTGGTTCCTATTGACCAATATTATTTCTAGGTCATTTTGACTAAGTCTTCTTCGATTACCCTGGTATGAGTTATTCAACGGGTTGAGGCATAACTTGTTATTGCGCTTAATTATTAGGAAAGACATTTGTAACTTCTGGGTTTTAAATTTCCATAACTATTTGTATATGAGGGGATGGTTGAACAAACGCTTAGGGAGCACCAAAGAAATCATCAATTTGAGTCATTTGGTGCGCCAATTGTTGGTAAGTGTGAATTGTGTTTTGGATCAAAGAATTAAACATAATACCAATTTGTTGACCATATCCTGGTTACTTTCATCCATTTGTTGTCACACGGACATGAGGGAACTAGTGGTTAGAGTGGCATATCTTTAGGAATATATCCTAACCATCCTCGAGGTTGTTCCATTCAACTAGGATTATTATAACAGATCCTGATGCCAAATATGGATTAAGAGGAGATGCATTGGTCATTGCATTATCTGCCTACGTTGATGCATTAGTTTGTAGGTTTGCCATCATTGTAGTTGGGAATTCCATAAGGGTATTCCCTACTATCGGGGTAACGTGAAACTTGGAAGAAAAAAAAGGCGTAGGGTCTCATATAACAGTTCGTGTGACCCTAGGAATAGTTGGAATACTTGTTACTTATGGTGGGGGAACCACCACCTCTAGTAACATGGCCAAAACTGGCATTGTCTTATAACATGAGTGGTTACTCCAATGGAGGTTAAAGTTTCTGCACCACCAACAGTCGTTCCAATTAGTTGTTCTTATGTATCTAGAGCATCGTTCTGGAGATGGGAAGAATATTTTGGTCGTAATATCTCAACAATAGTTTTACCACTCCTCAGACGCATACACGCTCAGACATTGAAAAAATTGAATGTATGAAGAATAGAATAAAACAGAAAAGTTTTTAAATTTCTTACATAAAAGGGTCCTAATGGGCGTGCCAATTTATTTGCTGGTGTTTTTAGCAAATCAAATCACAAGTTTTCTTTCATTTAAGGGATTAAACTCGGAAAAAAACCTATGGACAATTTGTGTAAAAAATTGATATAATGTGTTTGTATGTGAGTATTGATGTTTGAATATAGAGAAATTGGATAAGAATTCTAATGTGAACAATTCAAAATTGTTCGAAGATATAAAATAAGTAAAGAAAGCAATAAAAACAAATTTATACATGTTTCCTCACAAACTCTTTTCTCTTTACGACTTGGATACTCAAGTTATATAGAGAATAATGATAAAATTTATGAACCTTTATTAGATAACCAAAATCGAATTATATTCGAAATGCGTCAATACTACCCTAGGACTTGACACGTATCCTATTGTGTGGGATTCTAGCTTTTGATATGTGCCTACGTGTTAGTATTTGAATCTATCTATAAACTGCTCGTAAATCTTCTAATTGCTTATGTCGAGCAGTTTCTCTGTGAAATCCTTTAGTGGTGTCGAAATGTATCTAGATCACCTAGTATTTGACCTTAAAAATATACTAAGTCCCAAAACACCAAACAAGAAAGTCGAACTCACCACCTTTACATCACACTTTTGTGTCAAAATGTTAACTCATTGTGAACCTTTTCGAGATTTTAAACATGTTTTAAAGAGAGAGAGAGAGAGAGATTGTAATCTTGTGGATTTGTTCTTGAGATTCTTCTAAACCGTACTTAATAAATTTTAATGCAATGTCGAAAATCACGTGCTAACATCCTCATACTCGTGGGATATTCGCTAGCAAGTAATATGTGGGCTTTAAAGTATGTGCAAATATTTACAAATATTCATGAATAATATTTTTTTCTATAATTATTTTTTGAAAAAATATTTTCAGCTTCTTTTAGAGACAAATAAAACTACCACATAGCATTTATGCAATTCACTCTCACTTTGACAACGAAATTCCATTACATTAATTAGCTTCTTTTTCACCAAAACATAATAACATTCAAATATAATATACATATATTTTATTTTTAACCAAAACAAATAAATATATTGTGATTGTGAGTTATGGTGGAAGAGGAAACGACAGAAGAATAAGAAGGAGGACATTAATTAGACGGAGGAAGGGAGACACTGAGAACGAAGGAAGGACGATAATGGTTGGTTAGACGATAGAATTGTTGAAGTGATGTTTGAAATATATAAGAAATTAAAATATGAAATGACCAAATAAGATTTGTATGGAATATGAATGGTTCTCTTTGAAAAAAACTTTTAAAAAATAAATGAAAATAAAAGATGAAAAAACAAAGTATATTAAATTAATTATATTTAAATAATTTTTATAATTTATAAACATATATAGATATCAGTAGACACGTATATTATTAAACTCGTATCAGTATCTAACGTGTATTATTAAACACGCATCAATATCAATTAAAAAATAAATATTTAAATATTCATTCATTTTATCTAGAGAAATCCATAAGACGGTTTTTTTTCATACCCAGTTTGTATATGTAACACTTGATTGTACTTGGGCAAAATTATCTAAACTGTCAAATAACTTCTTGTATGAGCATCAAATATAGTTGTTGCCAACACTTGGAACACATTTACTCTTTTCCATTTCCTATTTCACACATTTCAAACATACTTTCTTTTATGTTTATCTTCTCTTTTACTCGACGTCTTCTTTTGTCTTGCTTCAAGAACTCTTTGGAATGTTCGAATATAACAATACCTTGATGCTTTTTTAATTATCTTCTCTTTTTTTGTTGGCGAGTATTGCCGTTTTATTAAAGCAATTCAAATTACATAAACGGTAATTACTTTAATGAATGCGCTGAGTGGTTCACAATTTTGCCCTACTTCTTAGCATAAGATTCACTTATGTCAACGTCTTAAAGGTTTGTCCAGCATTAGTAATGGAACATGTCTTTAAAAAAGTTCAATTTTTAAAATCAATGACTAAGAAAAAATCCTTCATTAATTAACAACTAACAAGGAAATGGAATTAAAATGAGTAAGCCAGCTTGTCCAAGTCGAACCAAACATTACCTTCAAACCAAGTTAGTAGACAGAGAAAGCATTAACAAGTTAACATCACTCAACACATAAAAACTGCAAGTAATATCTAAATCAGGAATAATCATACAGTGATATGCTCTTATCGTCTGATACACTAGCAAGCCGGCCACTTCGCACATCATTTCCTCCAGGTGGTCTAAATGCAACTCCCCATACTTGGTCCGTATGGTTGCTCATTGTCTGCACAGATGCCCTCATGTTAAGATCCCATAGCCTTACAGTTCTGTCGCTTGAACCTGTGGCAATAGCCGCCCCATCTGGGCTCACATCCACACATAAAACCCAACTAGCATGTCCCGACATGGTCCCAATTAAGGCTTTCCCCTCAGCATCATACATGTGGACATTACCATCATCTGAAGCTGAAAACAGTAGTCTTGGATCATAAGGGGAATAAACGAGAGAACGCACAGGCATGAAGTGGCCTTCAAGGTGATGTAAAAATTTGATTCGCTGTGCATCGAAAATAGAAATCGTGCCATCCATTGAGCCACACGCAAGTCGTTTTCCATCAGGGCTCCATGCGACAGATAGGACAAATTTCTTGCTGGCACTTTTGTCGCTGGGTTTGGGTCCTTCCACACGAGGAATTGAAAGGCTTGCAATCAGTTCCCAAGTTGAAGTGTCCCAAAGATTGATTGATGCACTACCTCCACCAGCAACTGCTAGAACGGCACCCTGAAGGTTCAGAACTTTTAATGGTTAAATTAATACTGTGTGGCCAATAGCATATAAGAGATGCTCATTTTGTACTAGTGTCTAAACTCAAAAGGCATTGAATGACACCTCCTATGATGCACATATATAAAGGAACATGTATCATTCCCATAAAACCCACAGTATGCAATAATGGGCTATTCTCCTCAACAAAACAACGTATGACTCCCATCAACAGAACAAGGTGCAGCTTTCAGTGTAAGAACTGAAAAATTGAACAAGCCCCCTGTATGCAATAACAGGTTATTCTAAGACTGGGTTACACACTTAAGTTAGTTGGATACATCCTTAAAATAAAATGGGTGATATACTAGGTTTTAATCAAAGACAACTGACAAATAAGGAAATCAGAGAATTAACCAATCAATTTAAACAGTAGACATGCAAATCGCCAATTGCAAACACACCTGAGCATGACTGAGAAAAGATCATGTTAAAAAGTGGCTAGGTGGGAAGCAAAATGCTTACTCGGAAAAGAATAAAAAAACAGATGTATTTATACAAGAATGCAAGTCTTAGCTGTTGATTCATAACACAAGCACTTAATTTTCGGGTATGTTTGTATTGATAATTTTAGAGTACTAAGTCTACATTTTGTTATATATTTGAGATTTTAAAAATATTGAAAGAATAACACGATACATGATCATAAAACATTTCAATCACACTTAATTTATTTATAAGAACATTTACAGGTTCCTTAATTTAGAAAAGAAAAATAAGCCCTCCCATTCCCTCAAATTCTCCGTCCATACACATCCTAAGAAAAATACAGTCCTGATTTTGAATACAGATCTTTACCCTGGATAACTCAGGACAAAACAGAATGGAAAAGACATTTGTTCTGATCTTTTCCTTTCTACTTTTCTAGTGGAACCAAAATATACTATATTTTTACATTACATTATTTTCTACTCGATTCTAAAAATAGAACAAACACAAAAAAGAAAGCACGTGTTCAGCTCCATTCGAAGTTCCAAAATGTAAATCAAATACTACCTTAAGTTCACTAAAAATGCACCATCAATCTGAAGAAGAAAAATCATTCCTAAGAACACTGGCATTTCTCTATAATCTTCAACACCAGAACTACTCATTTTCACAAGATTGTTCATTATTTTGGTATATTCAGCCAGCAAGAGTTATGAACACACTCTAATAACTTAGGGTTTAGCACCAAGAAACTAGGTCTAGGTGCAACCAAAATCAACTCCGCAACAAAAATTAAAGAATTCTCTCAAATACCTAAAGCAGAAAAAGTGAAATTGCGGTAAAGAGGGAAAAAAATGTAGTGCGAATTACCTTAGGATCAAAGCGCATTTGCCAGACTTCAGAAGGCGGAGCTTCAAGAGTAGCGATAGTGGCATTGGAATCGACATCGAAGACGCGAACAAAGCTATCGAGTGAAGAAGAGGCTGCAATTGAGCCGAGTGGATGAGCGGCTACGGAGGCGACGCCGAGACAGTGGCCGGTGTTGGTGCGTTCGAGAATAAGGTCATCGGATTTCCATAGGCGTACCGTTTCGTCGAGTGAGCCGGTGAGGAGGAGCGGAGGTCGGGTGGCGGTTGCGGGTGCCCATGTGACTGCCCAGACTGAGTCGTCGTGCGCGTTGTCTACCGATTTGATTCCACCGAGTTTCATTGCAAATGGAAAAACTCACTGTTCTCACTCTGTACTTGTTCTGCTTCTTTGCATTTTTTACTTTATTTTTACTGCTTTTCAATTTCAACTTTACTTAGTTTGGTTGGGCCTACCTTGCTAGTTGGCAAGCCCATTCACTTTCTTTTTTTTTATCCTAATGGAATTTTCTTTTTTGTTTTTAGTTGTTCAATGAAAATTTTCTGATAATAGATGTTTAGACGCGTTAATTGTAAAATTGAACTCAAGAAAAATGGTGGATGTGTACATTGCAAAAAAAAAAAAAAAAACAAACGAGAAAAGTTCTTTGGGTTTGTAAGATGCGGAGGAATGGAGCATAAATAATGGTTAGAGAATTCGTTCAAGGATATATAGTTTGAGCTCAAGAACATATAGTTTGAGTTGTGTAAGTCATGGGTAAATATGTCAAAGTTTGAAAACAAAGTCATCGCATGAAGCAAGGGTTGCGGCAGTAAGGCAAGAGAAGGTTTTGCATAGGCAACAAGAGAAGCAAAGAAGTAGAGAAAATATTATCAAACATATATTTGAGATTGTCCAAGGTAATGTGAAGGAAGGAAAATCATATGCAGACGCAGTCAGAAATATCAGAAGTCATAAAAACATAGTAGATTTTTCTACAAGGAGTCAAAAAGAATTCAAGAAATCTCAAAAGGACGATTGTCGAAATGGCATAATATCCTTAGTAGTAAGTGAAAAAGAAATGTATTTGGCTAAGAAAAGATATATAGGATGTGTACGAAATGTATATGACATACAATCATCGTAACAAAGTTTGACGGACGAAGGTATTACCACAGTAAAAGTCATTCATTTAGGTGGAGAAAAAGTATTCCTAAAGATAGATGAAGAGGAGGACTTCAGAGAATTAGTGAATGAATCAAATTATTTATTTAACAAATGGTTCAGTCTAGTTAGAGCTTAGGAAACCAAAGATGTAGCAGCAACGAGATTTATCTGGTGATGAATCTATGGTGTTATAGTTCATGCGTGGAGGATACAAGTATTCTTGATCCTGAGTACTTCGTTTGGAAGACTTATAAAGCTTGATGCAACAACAGAAAATATGCAGAGACTAGATGTGGCCCGAGTATTGGTTAGGACACCGATTTTAGAATTCATAAACAAGAAGAAGAGAATACAGATCAATAAAAAAAAACGTTCCCCATTCAAATATTAAAAGATATTTGTGAGTGCACTTCCATCCAATATGAATTGGATAAGTGGGAAAATTCAAAGGAAGATGAAGGTTAAAACATAGAAGATTCAGATGAATCTTTCATCCCTCCGTCAGTTACCTTTGTGGAAGACAAATGGGTAAGAAAGAGGTTAGAGGAATTATTTTTGGCATTTATTACGATAAGAGGAAAGGTTTGATCATGATGACATTGAAACGCTCGAGGGAGAGGTTTATCAAGGAAATAAATAGTGAAGAGATCAGGTAATACTGGAAATTCTAGGAATAAGAATCGAATAGATTTAAATTCCAATATTGAGGAATGAGGAGAGGTTGTTAGAGTTAGTGGGATGTTGTGATGGAGATAATTAGTTAGACAAAATTGTGGAATTAAAGTTAATTAAAGAATATTTAAGAAAGAGAAAAAGAACTATTAAAGTAAAATAATATTATTCTAGACGGAGGTGGCATAGAGAATGGAGAACCTATGAGTGGGCCCATGATATTGATTCCCCTAGAACTGGTTTTAGAGAAAGTGGAACAGAGTTTCAATTCGGACCGAAATTGTATCAAAAACCCAAAGAATGTTAATCCTAAATGCACATGCCCGACAATTATGTTGACCAACGAGGAACAAGCTAGCGGTTGATCTCGACCAGGCCAAAGAAAAGAGTGTTGCCCAGCTTAAGCTCCACGGCGAGGTGGAAAGGCAGTTGAAGGTCGTGGGTGAAGAGATGACAAGGCTCTTGGCGTGGATAGCAGAATTTGAGGTGGCTTCCTAGCCTGCGGAGGACGAGACTGTTGAGGAGAAGCTCATGGCGTATCGGGCGGCTTTGGTGTCGAGGATCCGGCAGCTCGAGCAAGATATTGCGTAGGGGCTCTCGATGTGGGCTACGGCAGTGAAATGGAGCAGCTCTGAATCGTGAACCCGGATATTCTGTTTATCACCAAAGGGGCTGGGGCCTTCCATCAGCTCGTCGAGGGTCACCTGGTCGCGCCAGGAGCCGAGGAGGAAGACGAATACCCGATCGAGGTGGGCGATGAGCAAGAGGAGAATGGAGCATCTTAGTGTTGTTTTGTCTTTGTCTTTTTGGCCTGCGTGCCTATGTTATTTTCCTGAATCGCGTGCCTACCTTTGATGTATCTGTTTCTGGCTTGCGTGTCATTCTTGTAATTTTTGAACAATGGGATATGCCCGCTATTTGGGGAATGTAGTAACTTTACTTTTATGTTGTGTGTGATTTATTTTCTATGTTCCCTTATTTTCTATGTATGCACTGCATTTTTGTTTGTTTTCTTGCTCGACCTGTTTTGTGACCTACTGTGCGGGGAATTAGTCGAGTGATCGGAGTTGGTATCTGATTAATGACGGGGCTAAGATCTCGATCGAGGTCTTTTGCTCGGGCGTGAACTTCCCATCGCGAGTTGTGTGTTCTGCCACAATGGTACGGCAACGGTGGAACTCGATTGAGGGAGTCCCCCTTGGGTCAAGGGTCTTGCCCGCAAACGCATGGGGCTGACTATTGTTTTTTTTATAAAAAAAATTAGGACTCGCATCTGTACCGTGTCGCGCCCCTATGGTCGTAACGCAAACGGTTTGCAAGCAGTGTCTAATTGTAATATTACTTGAGTTTTTTCTGCGTTCCATGGTCGAGCAAGTTCTTCCCCATATAGGTTTTTGAGGTAATAGGCCTCGTTGCCCGTTTTGTCTCGGACACGGTAAGGGCCTTCCTAGTTTTCCGCGAGCTTGCCCTCGTGTGAATCCTTTTGGTTCCTTCGTAGGACCAGGCTGCCCACCTGGAATTTGCGCTTGATGACTTTGTTGTCGTGCTACAAGGTTATCCTTTATTTCAGCGAGGCTTCCCGTAGGGAGGCCCCCAGCCTGATTTCCTCAACTAGGTCAAGTTCTTCCCTTAGTGGTTCGTTGTTTGGCTCATCAAGATAGGGGATTCGGTTTTCTTGGAAGGTTTCCTTATTTCCTGCAGAATCACTTCCTCAGTCCCGTAGGTCAGTCGAAATGGGGCCTCCTCGGTTGTCGAGTGTGGGGTGGTTCTGTAATCCCATAGGACATTCTGTAGCTCCTCAACCCATCTTTTCTTGGCGTCTCTCAGCCTTCACTTCAGGCTGCACATAATCACTCTGTTCGCAACTTTGGCCTGCCCGTTCGTCTGTTGGTGTTCGACCGACGTGAAGTGTTGCTTCGTGCCCAACCTAGTGACAAAGTCCTGGAAATTCTTGTTGGTGAACTGTGTCCCATTGTCGGTGATGATGGCTTGGGGTACATCAAATTGGGCAAGTATGTTTCATTTGTAAAAATGGAGTATGTTTTGGGTCGTGATTTTGGCTAAGGCTTTAACCTCTATCCATTTAGTGAAGTAGTCGACGCCAACTATCAAATATTTATTTTGGTAGGATCTGATGGTGAAGGGCCTGAGGATGTCCATTCCCCCCACCAGGTAAATGGCAATGGCGACGAAAGTGTTTTGAGCTTGTTTGGCGGGGCCAGGTGCATGTCCTTGTGACGTTGGCATTTGTTGCACTTCTTGACGTGCTCTTTGACGTTTTGCTGCATGGTGGGCCAATAGTATCCCGCTCATAGGGTCTCACGGGCAAGTGATCTCCAGTCGAGGTGTTGGACGTTGATCCCTTTGTGGATCTCTTAAAATATGCCCGGTACCTTGGATTCGTCGAAGCACTTGAGGAGAGGGTGGAAAATCCCTTACTGTACAGTTTTTCCTTGATCAAGACGTATGAGCACCTAGACGACGAAGATGGTCCATTTCTGTACCCTGGGGATCGGGGACTCTGTGAAAGCCATCTTTGCGGCGAAGTGGGCCAGGACTTGAGCCTTGAGGACTTTTATGCTTTCATATTAGACGTCAAATTCAGAGAGTTCGAGCGACCATTTAAGCATTTTCCCCGACATGTCCGACCGTCTGAGTAGCTTTTTGACGAGCTGGTTAGTTATGACTATGATCATATGGGCCAGGAAGTAATGTTGTAACCTCTTGGCCGCGTTGATGAGGGCCAAAGCGACCTTCTCGATTTGCTGGTATCTAAGCTTGGGACCTTGGAGGGCTTTGCTCGTGAAGTATATCAGCTTTTTCCCTTCAAGAGTTTCGCGGATCAGTGTTACGCTGACGGCCTCCGTGGCGACAGTGAGATACAGGTATAATATTTCCATGGCTTCGAGCCTTGACAGCACTGGTGGCTCTATAAGGACTTGCTTGAGGTGGAGGAGGGCCTCTTCGCACTCATCGGTCCATTTAAATATGACCTTCTTGCGTAGAAGCTTAAAGAAGGGGAGGGCATGCTTAGCAGACTTGGCAATAAATTGTGACAAAGATGCAAGCATCCCGTTTAGTGATTGGATGGACTTCTTTGTGCTTGGCGTGGTGAACTCAGAGAAAGCACTGCACTTGTCTGGATTCGCTTTTATTCATCATTCTGTCAAGTAGAATTCGAGGAACTTGCCTGCCCGTAAGCTGAAGGTGCACTTCTCAGGGTTGAACCTCATCCCGCGCTTCCTCGTTGTCGCGAAGACCTTCTTGAGGTGGATGGTGTGGTCGACTTCTTCTCTTGATTTTACGATAATTTCGTTCATGTACACTTCGAGCATGTCCCCAATTTCTCCTCGGAAGACCTCGTTCATCATCCGTTGATAGGTCGCGTTGACATTCTTCAATCAGAAGGGCATTACCTTGTAGTAACAGTTGTCTAATTTGGTCATGAAGGTCGTGTATTGCTTGTCGGCCTTTGCCATAGGGATTTGATTGTATCCCGAGTACGCATCCATGAATGAAAACAG